GAATGATAACAGGAGAAAATTGAAAAGGCATGTTGATATAGATAAAGTGTACGATATATATGTATTCATTTTGATTATTAATAGTCCAGTAGCATATTATCATAATTAATTCGTAATTCGTATTTCAAAATTAAAATCCTGCACGTACAATTTCATTAAATGGGAGTCCTGCTTAAAAACCACATAAAGAATCCTAGTAATTCATCCCCTTAAGATTGTAATTTATTTTCGTTGATTTCTATGAAATCGTAAGTTGCAATTAATAATAACTATTAACTACTAACCCAATAACTACTATTATAAGTAGGTATCGTATATATAATACGTTTTAAACCATAGATTTCAATACTAGGAGGTGATAAATATCTATTAAGTCATACAGGCGGTGACGCCGAACCTATACATCAAGCGAAATAGCCGACTCACATATTTAACTGGGACAGTGGGTACCCGGACGATTTATGTAGAATAATATTCAGCTTTTATGTTGTATATCAGGGTGTGTGGTGAGTCCTCAATTTTACTTCATCAAAATATTTAGAGTTTGGCACTATTGCAAATGAATATAATACATATTATATTCGAGTTCTAGCGATTAACCTATAGTACACGGAATATTTAAAATATATCAGTGCACTAATGAGATATAAGTTAGAATATGTAGTACATGTAAATCCGAGATTTAATCAAAAACTGGATGTGCGTTATGATACGTAGTATTTTCTCTCAAAATGTCTTCGGTTGTTTGCCATTTCCATGATGAGTAGGTACCGCAGTTAAAAATACGACGTTAACGTGTATTAAATATGTTTTAAATGACAACTGCGTCCAATTCAACTTATTAAGGGGATTGAACGCGGTCGTGTGAAATAATAGTAATTGTGCAGTGAAACCTATTTGTTTTATTATGATCATCAGGACCTTAGGCTGATTTATGAATATTTCAAATCTATTATGTTTACATAAATATTAATGGATCATCAATTAACAATTTCAACACGGGGTTCGACATCATAACATAATATAATGATATGATTATTCATAATAGAGAGCCTTGATAAAATATAATAGTATAATATCTAGGCTTTTTGTATTTCAATCACTGCATAAGTCTGTCCATGATTATACATACAGATTAAGAATAGTTGTACCACTTACTGTATACGGAATGAAAAAATATAGACATAATATGGTTATAACCATATTATGTCTATATTATTATTAATGTTATAACATTAATATTTCTTAATAGTATTGTATAGTTTACTTAATTTTTCCCTCGCACAATAAATGATTATTATAAATTTGAGCTCGAAAATAAAAATAAATGAGACTTTTATTAATTATGAACAGATAATACATGAACAATAGTAAAAAGAGGATGCCAGCAAAACGTCACCTCCCGATAATGTTTAAACAATAAATGTAATGAGTGTTCTCAAATGGTGATACCGGTGATTACCGATAATAATTGTCTGGTAATTGATGTAATATAGTAGGTGAACATTAATTATCGATGTACATAATGATAGGTAACGCATAATATGGCGGGAGGGCTTTATTTGGATGTCCAATCTCCTCGGTGATATTTTTACTAAGTACTCGTGCAATTTTAAAACAAAAGTAATTGTTTTGAAATTTTGATGGTATTAAATTATTCCTACTTTTATCTTGTTTACAACAACCATTTACTGTTATATATATATACTGTTATAAATATGTATGTATATTGCAGTCAATTAGTTAAATTTAATTTTCCTTATTTGTACATCATAGAGAATATAAATGCAGCATATTGGAAACAAATTTAAGACAAAGCTGGTTACATAAACACATCTTTTTTACTTATACTTATTCTTATGAAAACAAAATTATTCCTTGCTTATTTATGACCTACATCTAACTACGCTACTGATATATAATATAGTAATTGTAGCGGAAATATTTTAAATAATAATAGCTGTAAGCAATCATGAGCACCATTGCTATCCATTATAATTTCAGTGTCATACAATTGAAATATTGTTATCAATTTATATTAGGTATATTATCATCTAATAAAACCGAAACTTTATTTTGATAAACCTAACATTTAAAACAGAACATCGATGTTTGTTTGTGTACATAGATAATTAGTAACAATTAGTAATAATATTTAACGATATAAAAACGCGGAATCAAAATTATTTCGGAAAGCTTCATATTTTTGTTGTCGATACAGTTTATACATACATTTGAATCGATTTTTTGAATTGTTTAATGAAAATAATTACTTTCTATGAGATTATCAGCCGATTTCGGCACTTTAACTCTTCCGCCCATATTGAAAATTATCTTAATATTATTTTCTTTTAAGACAAAACATAATATTTAATTATGTCAATCGTTAATTATTCAAATGTATATTATGCTAAAAATACGTTAAGTAATAAATTTTGCCTTGAGTTTCCGTATTATAATAAACCATGTATTATTAAATAGTTTAAGTAAATAACAATATTGGTTTCACGTATAATCACACGTGGTGAACTGCGCATGTAGAGGAATTCTATTATTACATCGACTTCACCGCGAGTACCTATATTATAGAAGACACAATGCATGTATATAGGTATACGGCGGGTACTTGTTATGTTACATAAGTTATGTAATGAACGGTGTATAAATTGATGTATGCAAATGCTAAATTCTGTTTCATTTGGTTTCACAGTTGACCGTCAGAGATAAAATGAAAATGTTATTGTTATCTTATTATTTAACATGAATATCTCTTATCCGGTTCAAAGGACATAATATTAGAAAATTATTTAATGGTTAAATAACTTCTCTGACAATTTCAGGTGAGGGATTAAAAATTAAACGTACGTAAAATCTGACGTCAGCAAAATTGTATTTAATGTAAACAGATAAATTAAACTGAATACCTAATTCAATTTCAGGTATTTTTAGTAATAAATTATTATTAATAACTATTATATATTATTAAAATTTTACTTATAATAACTTATTACTAATACTCAGTCACCAATATTTAATAAGAAAATAAGTATACATATTTCATGGATTAATTTTTCAAGATTCAAAGATGTAAGAACAATCAACACTTTATTTTAATGTTTTCGATAAAAAAAAAACTGTTCCATTTTTCATTTAAAATGCACCGTTATGATTTATTCACAATAAAATTAAATTGGGTTAAATCTATGTATAGTTTATATATTTAATAACATAAAAAATAAATTAAAATGTAATAATTGCATTCATTATATCCTTTTATTATTTTTACTTTATTACTTACTTACTTACTTTATTACTAATTATTTTAATTTTAATAATTTAATTGTTTTTAAAACTATCAGGTCATCATTATATGCACATACAAAAACGCATTCATAAATTAAGCATCTACGATTTGCTATGCATACATATTATTAGTATTTGACTATCTTTTGGAAACCATATCCGTTTAGGTAATGTGAGATGTTTATATTAACGAAACAACAAATTACTATTATGTTTCATATAAATATTTTTTAATAAAAATCATAATTATTCATGTTTCATCGTGAATACTTATTACATAATGACCGAAATCCGATATGTTGTATTTATACTAAAAATCCAGTCAATTGTAACTAAACAACGTAGTATGTACCTAAGCCAAAATGATTACTAATCAAGAAATTTAAGTCAATATGGGTACCAAAATTTTAATTTTTAAACATTTTGGGGAAAGAGATTTCTTTCTATATTCGTGGTCTATAAAAAAAAACAATTTTTAATAACATTGTATTATTTATATTTATAATCTTAAGTTAAATATCAAAGTCCAATATGTTTCGCCACTGCACATAATTGAAGGTACAGTAGCAGTAAATCATTTGAATCTTTTTTTTATTTCGTATTAAATACAGTCAATTGTATAATATATTTCAATAATTACCTACAGTGGCGGCTAAGGGGGCAGGCTAAAAGGCTTATAGCCTAGGGCAGCTTTTTTGGGAGGGAGGCTTTTTTTTATAGAATTAAGTGTTATTATTGACTTATTAGGTGTATTTTTTTTATATTTGTCATTTAAACACAAATAAAAGTAATTTTAAAAAGTTACAATAGTATATTAATATGTACATTGTATGATGCGTACCTATAGGCTATAGTAAGAATATTACAAGTATTATTACAATTTGAAAATATTTCATTCGTAATTAAATAATTACAGTTAGTTACTAGTTATTATTAATAACTTATTAATACATATGTACTTATTCGGAACATCTGACTATCCGAGTATAGGTATTTTCATATCTGGCTATTTATATTTCCGTTATGTGACTGTATAAGCATTATTTGTATTGGTAATAATGGTATCTGAAGTAAAATAGTCAACATGAAATATTTTATTTTTAGAAGTTTTCTATTTTAATGATTTTATATTTAATTTTTTTTTTTTTTTTTTGATAAAAAAACTGAATAAAATTTGAAGAGAAGGGTTTAGACCAAATATTTTTGGTTCCTTAGTAGAGGGAGGGGGGCAGAGTGATTAAGCCTAGGGGCACCAAAACACTAAATCTGCCACTGATTACCTATGTACCTTAGAACCTAGATTTCTTAGCTGCACATTTGTCACTCGAACACTTCTTTATCGTTTGTAACTGGTCAATGGTGGTTAAACGGAAGATGAGGAGATAATACTTCTATGGCATTCATTTTGATAATAATTTATTATACTACGACCACAAACCTTTACGTTTTATTTAAATATCTTAAAATTTTAAATTTAAAGAAAAATAATTTCAATGGTAACATTCTGTTTCCCCTGTTTATCTTTGCGACAATTATCTTAATTGTACAGATATTTAATCATGATATTATCATTTAAACATTTTTTTTATAAACAAATGTTTCAGCATTCATATTCATGTATAACACATTTTATAATTATTAACTTGATTAATATACTAATTGTTGGTTTATTTATTTTTTTTTTTTTTTATGTGCAGATTCATAACATATTATGCTGTTCAGGCTGCTAACAACATGGTCATATCAGATTTTATCGTTCATTACTGTGTATGCAATCTTCACAGCAGGTAATAACATTCATCACGAATATCTAATATAAATATTAAAATAACACTTCTGGAACATTGTCACAATACTGTCACTCTAACACTAACTATAGCGATGTTTCTTTACAGTTAATATAATTTACATTGTGTTATACTTTTTTTGTAATTACGATAATGTGGTAGCAAAGTCCCCCATCTTCCTTAAAAAAAAGAACTTATTCCCTAACCTGGTTCTTATTGTAAAAAAACAACTCGTTCCCGTTCCTTTTTAAAAAGGAATGCGTTTCCATTCCTTTAAATATTTTTTATACGTTTTGAACGATTGTCAATGGTGTTTTTTTTTTTTTGTGGACAACTTTTTAACCAGAAATAATCGGCTAATTTTTATGTTTAGTACCTTTTTCGATAAGTAATTAACTGAACAGAATCAACATTGCATAGTTTACATTATACCTATTATACTTTGTAGGCTAATCTCGAACCAATTGAGATAAAATATATTCAATATATCCACGATACGTCCTCCTAGGTTCATGGCAATTTATTAGTGACTTATATTATAACGAAATTATACCAAATTACCAACACTAAATAATATTATATTTTAGAATATATTACTAAAAAATGTTTTTTTTTTTTTGTTTCTATAATTTGGGAAACAAACATTTTCGTTCAGTTCTTCAAAAATAGGAACTCTTTTCCGTTCCCCGTTTCAATATTTTAAAATGAACACGTTTCAAGCTTTGTTTCTATAAAAGGAACGTGTTCCTTCTCAACACTGGTTCATTATTATGTATTTAGTCGGCACTCGTCGGAAAATTGCTTTATTTTAGTATTTATATAATTTTGATACATTGTTTCTAATTAATGCATTAATATAACCAAATATATTATAAAATTAATTGCTATAAATTTATGGATATTTTTATAAAATTTTACATTCACTACATTTTATATTGTTATCAGTTGCACTAATCGTTTAGGTATTTACATACATAAATATAGTTTATTCTAACTTTTTTTCTTTATTTATTTAATTATCAGAATTATAATTATAATTCACAAATACAATAATCACACGTGTATTCAATCATAACTAAATGTTAATTTGTTTTTATATTGAAATAAACAGTTTATAGAAATACATAAAATATCTCAAATTATCATTTACTAACGCCATTGTTAAATCAACTTCAAACGATTTCAATAAAATATATTATACTTATGTATTAATGTCAGTATTTTAAACATTTAATATTAATGAATATTATAATACTGCAGGAATTCCAATAGAAAAACCCCGAAAGGCAATACCACAATGGACTACTCACAATATGTCTTTGTGGGAAGACATAATACTATTAAGCTCAGACAACGAACACCAGCCGGCGCTTATGATAAACCACACTGGTGTATACATTGCCCCAGACATCGAAAAAATGGAAAACGAGACATTAAGAAAATTCCAAATTTTAAAAGTAATTTATTAACAAGAAAATAATTCCAAATTAAAAGGACTAAAAATATGTAACATACAGTATTTAAATTAAATGAAAAAACAAATATCTATAATTTTGTAAAATAATGAATTTCTTTAAATTTAAAATTTTTTAAATCAATTATGACTTTCACTAATATACTAAATTCACAGACAAATTTATTCACATTTCGATTGACCTAGTAAATAGTAAAATGTGATTACTAATCTGAAAAATAATTTTGAAAACAGATTTAAAATTACGATGAAATTTATTTTAAATCAATTTGTTTCATCTTTTATCTCTAAAATTGAATACAATATATATATCAATATAAATGTTTTTTACATACACATTTTGAGGTCTAAAATAAAAATAAATTGAACATTTGGTAAAAATAAAGCTTCATATTTTATTAAATATTACTTTTAAAATCCTATTATACATGCAATAGTTAATTTATCGGTAAGTTGAAAATTACATTATTACGTATAACTCCACCTTGCATAATAAATGAAAACTGTTTAACTTTTCTTTCTGTGCAATAACTAATATGTAAACATTTCACAGATTTAATTTTAAAACAGATGTAAAAACCAATAACTCATATTATTTCATAAATCTACATCAATATTTAATATAGTTTATACCAATTTATACACAACACATTAAATATATTATTATTAATTGCAGAGCGGTCCTAATGGATTATAAGGATCAGGGGCAGATTGATTCAGGGGCCCCTCAATCATCATAATAATATATGAGTATGATAAAAAAATATACACTGTTTGAAAAATATTGATAAATATAGTTTTCTTAACAATCAAGGTCGTTTGAATTCATCGATACAGTGAATTACATTTTTAATAACATTTCTAAAATGTTTTATCAGTTACCATATTTAATAAAAATTAAATGTATTCTTAGATAGTTTATAAACAGCCATAGAAAATAAGAAATTGTATTTTGTTTCGTCGATACTTGCAATAACGAATTTCTACGTAAATTTGGATGCAATTATTTAATTTTTCATACTCCGACAATAACTATAATAAATTACATTTATAACTATTTAGAATTTGAAAACTACTGAACATTTACCACTTAAATATATATTTATGTTAATTTTATTTAATTAAATGTATTAATATTTCATAGAGAAAAATAGTATAAAAATAATATAACAATATTAATAATCTCTAATGAGTAACACCATGTATTACTAATCAATATCACTTTTAAGGGGGCCCCGTTTAAATTTTTCTAGAATTGGGCCTGGAGTAAAATAGTCCCGTTGATCTCCTGGCAGCAACCTTGATTAATTGGACATTAATTATTTAATTATTTTAAGTATACATATTGAACATTTTTCTAATACTCGTGAATGAAAAATATTTTAAATATAGTTATTATATTAAATATATATTAAATGTTCACAATTTTTATTTTTAGACAAATTATGCGAAGTATTTTTATGAAGTCGACGGTAAGCCAAATAAAGAAGATAGTCGCGCTTCTCGAGCTGCTCTGCCTCGGTTCGTGGACAAAGCATTACAATTGCTCAATTTAAATCAAGTAGTGGGTGAAGTGGAAACTAGTGTTATGTCAAAAATGTCATGTACGGCTTGTAAGGCCGGAGCTGGTTTTCTACAACACTATATAAAGACTGGAAAAACACGCGATGACATCGTCAAAATTACTTACCAATTTTGCACAAGCTTTAAATTACAAACCCCGCGTGTCTGCGAGGGTATAACCGAATTGTTTAGTGTAAGCCACTTTATTATTCATTCACTATGATTATTGTTTCAACATTGAATTTATTTCAGGGTGAAGTAGTTTACGTTCTACAGAGAATAAACATTGGGCCAGAAGAAATCTGTAGTTTTGTAATTGGCGATGCGTGTGGGGATGTATACAATCCAACACATGAATGGGATGTAGTTTTTCCTCCTGTTCCCAAACCTACTCCAATCGAAACTAAAATATTAAAAGTAATTGAAATTTATTATTTGATACAATATTACATTAAAGATTCTTATAATAAATAATAGATAGTAATAGATATTAGGGTGGACCTTTGCTATAGATGAAGAAATTATTTTTTAATATTTTTGATTTATCACCCCCTCATTTTGTTCATTGCTATAAGAAAGTAATTCGGGTGAAATTTGATCATGATTACTTACCCCTTTCACGTGCCACAAGAGGGTTGAATATTAGTGAAAAAAGGTTGTTTTGTCATTTTTTGACTATATTTAAAAAAATATTGCATTTATCTTAAAAATGTATAAAACATATACTATAGATATTAATATTTTTAATAAAAAACATATACATAGAAATTCTTATAAATCTATTATTTCCCAACAGAAATGATAAACATCGAATATTTTATTTATTTAAAAAAAACTATTTTTTTATAGTTATTTAAATATATTAAAATAATGGTTGATGATACTACAAAATATCTTATATACAATTGATAAAGAGTTTGATTTCCTAAAAAAAAGTTAATTAGCATAAATTTGACTGAATTGACTGTTTTATTGTAACAGTCAGGTTAATGTAAAAAAATTTAATTTATCTAAAATGTTATTATGTTAATTCAAGAGTCTTATTAATAATACATTATATACGATTAGATAATATTTTGTACCTAATAGTTGTATTGGAATCCGATAATATGTTACAGTTGAGATTATGGGATGGTAAACTTCTTCCCTCACTATCCGGAAAAAAAATTATTGACCGCCTATTGGAATACCAATAGTAATATCATTTAAAGGAAAAGAGCAGCTGCTTGGTCTACCAAAACTTATATCTGGCATTAGACAAAATCAAGCAATAGCAGAATATCAGACTTGAAAATTGGGGTTTAACCGAAAACGTACAAAGCTTTATGTTGTGATCCAACCGTATTCATCATGGGTTGACTAAAAGGTTGACTTGTATATTATTAGAGCAACGGCTAGAACGTGATATACTATATTTACCATGTAGACATCATATATTTGAAGTTATATTGAGAAGTCTTTTTGAAATAAAAATTGATATTGCATCAATTGTACCAGATGTACCAATTGTATCAGATGTACCAATTTTAAACGTTTCCAAAAAGCTTGGCCTAATATTACTATCAAAAACTTTTTTAGTGAATTGAAAGATACTCTTGTTTCTCAATCAGTACAAGATTTCAAAGAAAACCTTTTAATGTTCGGTAAAAATCAATTATGACAGTTTCAACCTCAAGATAACTATAAGGAACTGTTAAAACTTAATATTATATTTCTAGATGAAAAACCTCAAAATTATATATTTTTCAAAGTTCCAGTATCCATACATCATGCTAGTTGGATGGCAAAAGCTTTATATACTCTGAAAATATTTTTATTTCGAAATGAATTAAAATTAACATTAAATGAACATAATGCTTTCCGTAACTTGTATAATTTTATAGTTCGGATATGTTAAATAATGGTTTTGTGCTCCAGCTGCTGCTCTGGCAACTAAACATGGACTTACAATTTATTGAAGAGCTAATATTGTACGAGGTCATTGATATACAAATTTCAAAATGAATATTAAAAAAAAAGTGTAGTCATTTGTAATACTTAATACCAGAAGTAACATCATTAGCATTTTTTGATGACAACGTACCACTGAAAAAAAAGGCAAAAATGGTTAAAGCAATGAAGACTTTTGATGTCAAATCAGAATACAAAAAACAAATAATTTTATAATCAAATAAAATATACGATTATGCTAATAAAAATTTTATATTGGTTCAATCTAGGAATTTTTTTTTTTTTAATAGATTCAGTATGATGTTGGACTTTTTAGATTTATATCCGAAATTGTGGGACGAAAATGATCAATATATAAAAGGAAAAGATTTAGTAAATAATTTAACTATAATTAATGATATTACGTAATGAAGAGTGAAATTAATTGAAGATTATAACAAGTTAATAACTAAAAGTGAAGACCAGAAACAATATTTACTGCAAGTAGTGAGAGAGTATCGTCGTTGATTCTCAGATTGTAAAAAACCACCTTGTCCAAGATCTTTAAAATAACTGAAAGAAATCAACTATGTAAAAAAATGTAAAAAAATGTAAAAAAATTATAATAATAATTATATCATTTAATTTTTCTTATGAAATAATAAATAGATAATAATAATAATAGATTTATAAGACATTATATAAACTGAATTATATTAAAACATATATTATTAATGAAACTCTTGAATTAACATAACATTTTAAATAAATTACATTTTTTTATATTAACCTGACTGTTACAATAAAACAGTAAATTCAATGAAATTTATGCTAATTAACTTTTTTTTAGGAAATCAAATTCTTTATCAATTGTATATTAGATATTTTGTCATATCATCAACCATTATTTTAATATATTTAAATAACTGTACAAAATCGTTTGTTTTAAATAAATAAAATATTCCATATTTTATCATTTTTCTTGGGAAATAATAGATTTATGAGAAATTGTATATGATTTTTATTAAAAATATAAATATCTATAATATATGTTTTCTACGTTTTTAAGATAAATGCAATATTTTTTTGAATATAGTCAAAAAAAGACAAAACAACCTTTTTTCGCTAATATTCAACCCTCTTGGGGCACATGAAGGAGGTGAGTAATCATGACCAAATTTCACCCGAATTACCTTCTTATAGTAATAAACAAAATGAGGGGGTAAGAAATTAAAAATATTAAAAAAAATGTCTTCATCTATAGCTAAGATCCACCCTAATCTATACATATATTTTAAAAACCAAACACAAATTTCATTTATATTTTTTATAAATAAAATGTAATAAATATAAATATTACCAAATATAGTTTATACACATAATATCTATAATTCGATATTTTTATTAAGGGTATACTTGTAAATTAGAACTTATTTCAGGAACCAGTCCCACAATTTAAAGTGCTCCATTTATCCGACACCCATTTTGATCCTTATTATGAAGAAGGAACAAATGCTGATTGCAATGAACCTCTATGTTGTCGTTTGACCAATGGTCCAGCAGTCAGTCCTCAAAATCGAGCAGGAAGATGGGGAGATTATAGAAAGTGTGACACACCTAAACGTACTATAGACAATATGCTTCAACATATTGTTGCTACACATACTGTAAATAACTTAATAGTAACTACAAGTCAAAAACCTAGAAGATATAAATTTATATTTTATTTTAAGGACATTGATTATATAATATGGACGGGTGATCTACCAGCACACGACATTTGGAATCAGACAAAAGAAGAAAATTTAAGCATACTAAAAGAAACTGTAGCTCAGTTACTAAAAATGTTTCCGGGGATTCCCATTTTCCCAGCACTTGGTAATCACGAAGCTGTTCCAGTAAATAGGTATATATTTTCTCTACTCAGTGTTTATTACAAGTTTGTATAAAAAAAAAAAATTATCCATTTTTCAGTTTCCCTCCATCTTCATTGGTTAACAAACCAGAATATGCGATTGACTGGTTGTACAGTGAATTAGACACTCAATGGCGCCGTTGGTTACCAGGTTCTGTCAGTAGAACTATCAAACGTGGAGCATTCTACAGTGTGTTGGTCCGACCAGGCTTCCGCATTATATCCCTGAACATGAATTACTGCAACAATAAGAATTGGTGGCTATTAATAAATAGTACTGATCCAGTCAAAGAACTTCAATGGTTTATATACGAGTTGCAAAATGCCGAGTTTAATGGAGAAAAAGTTCATGTATTAGGGCATATACCACCAGGACATCCAGATTGTTTAAAAGTCTGGAGTCGAAACTATTATGCCATAATCTCAAGGTAAATTTCAGTATAATATTCAATTAACTTATGTGTGAGTATTCTGACATTCATATAACCTTTATTTTTTTTTTTATAACAAATAACCGAATAGAAATTTTGATAATTTAAAAACAATAAATTTAACAATTTATTAAACAAAATTGTAAAATATATAACTAGAAACTATAAAAATCTTTACCAAATATGTAATACTTATACAAAAATATACCTACCTCACTTATATAATCTATTATACTATTATATATCTTCCACCACCATCCCAAAGACTGTTTTTAATATTATTGGTTCACATATTTTTTTTTTTTTTATTGAAAGTTTATGAACAGTAAATATAATTAGTTATTTAATAGTGGCATATACCATTTAATTTAAATTATGTCTGATTATTGATAAATTTATTGGGGGACTAGGTATTGTATACAAATTATAATCCACTGAAATTATTAAAATTATAGGTAAAATAAAATATATAAATTATTTATACAAATGTAAGCTTTTAATAATGTTTTTTTATTTTTATTTTAACATTGTATATTATATAAAATAATACATAAAACAAGTGCTATATAATCTCAAATTAACAATATTAAAGAATGTAAAAATTATTTTTTAGTCCAATTGGAAAGTTTTTCTATTAACAATCAACAATTGTGAAAAATTATAAAAATATTTACCAATTTAATATTTTTTTTAAATATACATTTATTTGATTAATGCACAGTTATATTAAAACAATAATACAATTTTGAAACAAAAATGGTATAATATAAAATTAATATCTAATACCTTTAAAAATGTAATCATCTTAGATTAAAAATAAACTATGTTAATTATTGTTTTTATTTTAATAGATACGAAAGCACAATAACAGCTCAATTTTTTGGCCATACTCATTTTGATGAATTTGAACTGTTCTATGATACACAAAATCTTGGTAGAGCAGTTAGCATTGCATATGTTGGTCCCTCTGTCACCCCATACTATGATCTGAATCCCGGTTACAGAATATATTACGTAGATGGCGATAGAGAGCATTCAACCAGAGTAATACAATTATAAATTATAATTAATAATAATATTAAATGTGTACTAAGTAAATAAAATAATTTTATTTATGTAATTTTAGTCAGTATTAGACCACGAGACATGGGTAATGAATTTAAAAGAAGCTAATTTATATGACTATCCTATCTGGCAAAAATTGTATTCTACACAAGCTGCATATAACTTACCCTCATTGAGACCTGAAGACTGGGATGTTTTTGTCAGTCATTTGGTAGAAGATCAAACAACATTTGATCTTTACTACAAGTAATATTAAACAACTAAAATACAAAAAAAAATATATTTAAAAAAAAAATAAATAAAATATTAAATAGGCATTATTGGAAAAACTCACCAACAAGACCTGCGTGTGATGCAGAATGTAAAAAACGTATGATATGTGATCTTCGATCAGGTCGTTCACATGATCGTAAAATTCTTTGTCAAGAAATTGAATCTCGTATTGACGCTGGGACCAGAATTAGTTGGCGTGCATGGCTCTACAATGGATTCACTGCATCGTATGTTTCTCTATTATCTATCAAATACTATTGGGTGCCAGTTATAGTGCCTTACATGCAAGTCAATAAAACAGAATATACCTTGCAACTAACGCTATACTAATTGCTATGCAAAATACATGCTTTTTATTAATTAAATCAAATAAATAAAAATTATATCTATATTTTTACTATTTCAAAGAGTGGAAATGATTTAAATGGTTTGGTGATGGTCGACTATTATTATCACTATATTTTCACCAGCAGCAATTTACTATTTATTGGTGAGTGGTTTTTCTTAGTATAAAATGTAATAATTAGTAATTAGTAATAAAAATTATGATTAAAATTACTAAGTAGTGGAAATGTATGGTATGCAACATTAAAAAACTATTATGTATGTATTACTTATTATAAGAAGCCAGAATAATATTCTCTTAAAATAGCAAAATAAGATGCTAATATTCATTATGTTTAAAATATTCTTCCAACATTCTTTAAAAATCATAATAAAATATGCAAAAGAATTACTTTAATATACAATAGAATAAATTACATAATTCAAAAAACTAATATTAAATTATAAATATGTATATCATAAAAAATAATACTGCTTAAAAAAATCTTTAACTTAGGTAACATATTTTATTTATTTAATTAAATTAGATTATTGAAGGATTTTTAATTAAGACAATTTTTAAATACAGTTGACAATATTTTGTTCCATATACTCTAGTGTCATATTGGTACAACTGCCAGTTCAAATGTTTTTATATATACCTAAAGAACGTTAAACATTAACTTAAGTCACAAAAAAAAATTCTGGCCTCTACTTATTACATGTAAATTAAGTATAAATAAAATAATTATTGTTAGAATCACTTTTAATACTATTTTTCATTCAATAAAAATTATTTTTTAAATAATAACATTAGAATATTTTATATATTAGGAAAAAACTTTTTGCTTAACAACTTATACCTAAATTATATGTCAACCATATCATAAACATACACAATTAATTATATTTAACTGACAATATTAATATTTTAATACCATATAATACATTCATACAAAATGTCCCGGTTATATTATAGCCTTAAAAATTTTAAAAATAAATATATTTTGTAGTCATATCTAAACTTGAGTATTAATAATAAATAAATATAACTAGAAAGATATATTTACTAATCAATCATTAAGCAAACTTAAGGTTCAGGAACTAACTATATTTCTTTGACAGTTGCCAAGTCTTATTGATTATTGAATACTGTTGTTTATAGTACTATATTCAATATTGTATACATGCCACTTAAACAATAAAACAATTTAAATTTCAGTATGAATAACACAGTAGGTGGCATGTTAAACACAATAATAAATACTATAATAAGCAACAGCTATTAGTTTATTGTCTTTTTTTTTTTTTTATTGTATTAATATTCAAAATATTTTGTTATTAGGATGTCTGTAATTATGTCCATACCTCACTATACGTACCAGATACCAAAATACCTACTAGGATATACCAGATGAGCAAAATTGATAAGTAATGTGAACAATTCAAATGTATTGTTAACTGCAAGTACGGTCATTGAAAAGAACAGATAAATTGGAAGACTAAATCTACTCTGAAACATTTGCTCATTACAACGATCAAACAAAAACAATATGATTAGAAGTAGGTTATTTTTACAATTAGAGAATAATCAAACATACACATGGCCATGGCCCTAAAATATGGATATATATATATATATATATATATAAATATACACTAACATACAAAAATGTGCATGGATAGGTGTGTATTTATTTGATATATTTGAACAATTTTTTTACCAACATTAACATGATATATAAGACTATTAATATACACTTTTTTTATTTATTACGCCTTAAACAGGCTGTTAAACATTCTGTTGATGGTTATTTATTATGTACAGTGATTTAAAATAGGAAAATTAAATTATTTAGTTGTAAATAAATAGAATTAACATCAGAATATAAAAAGTTTAATTTTTTAAAAATATTTTTTTAATTTAACGCGCATTAGCTCTAGCCACAGGGGGAACTATGGGCTTTTTGTTGATTAGTTGTGGAACATAAAGTAAGAGCAAAGCTTTTTTGCTAAGTTCTTAGGTAGTCTATAGTTCGAGAACTAGTGCTACAGCTTATCATATTATGAAATACAACCACATCCACTATGGTTTTATATTTTAGGAATACTTATAGGGGTTTTTGATTTTATCTAGTCAATCAGAGAAAATGTTCAAAAACAAACATGTAATAATTATTTAAATACAAGTATTTATTAACACTCAAATTATTAATACAGTATGGGTTGGGTTATCAAGCTCTCCTATATAATGTATTTTTTTATAAATACATTAAAACGTAATAAATGTTTCTTATGAAATATAAATTAAGCAATTTATACAAATTAAATGCCTACACATTTTTTAGGTATTAAATTTTGTTATATAAAAATATAAATAAGTGAATTACAAATATTTTATTACACTTACAAATTATTTAAGTAATAAATAAAAAATATAATATAAAAAAATTTGAGCACAGGAATGTTTTTAAAGTATATACTTATAAAGTATAAAAGATACTTTTACTTCAGTAATCAAAATAAATTCTGTTTACTGAAATAAAATTATTCAAACTAGTTTAATAAAAAGAAATTATATTAAACAAAATGAGATTCAATTGTGTAATAAAAATTAAAGTCATAGAAATTAAAATTATTTGACCCGTAATGTTTTAAAATATTAAAAATAAAGTGGAAATATAATTATATTATGTTATTAAAAAAAAAAAAATCACTCAACAAAAATATTATATCTAATTAGTAGGTAATTATAATAATAAAAAAATACAAAAATTAAGTAGAAGCATTATTTTAAATAAAAATAAAAAACAAAGTACTTAAAAATACATTAGAGAGACAACACTCTTCTATTTGTATATAGTTTTCAACTAAAATAATGTTCTTATCATAGTTCAGACAAACATTTTATGGCAATTAGCCATTGGTAACATTACTTTTAAAAATTCAGTCGTACAACTTTAATTCAAAAACTTACATCTAACTTATTTCATTTTTTTTTTTCATATTTGTATATGTTGAGCAAATAATTTTCGATTATTATCGATAAATAAAATAATAATTACAAGAAATAAATTAAATAGTTACATAATTAAAATTAAAAAATATATATAATTATAAACAAGTTCACTTTATAAAAAACCTAAATTGGTCACATAAAAAATTTAATTAAATTAATAACCACAAAATAAACATGATTCTCACAATGTTCATAAGACATACAAATTAAAACATTTTTATTAACACTGTAAAAAACAAGGTGGAGATAAAATTTAATGATGAAACATTACTTACAATCTTCGCAAATTATGTTTTCTTTTTGTTATATTAGACAATATCGGACGACGGTAATATGATGATCTTGATATTGGCAAAGATAGGTTAAAACATTTGTGTTCTAAATCATTGGTATACTCACAAGTACAATTTGTGCAGAATATGAATTTACAATGAAAACCTTTACATTCAGCACGAGTTGATTGAGAAGGTGACCATGAAGCTGGTCTAGAGCACCGTGGACATGGAACTAACTGTTGATCTGAACTTAATTTCTTGGCTTCCTAAAAAAAAATTTGTAATATATTAATAACTAATTTTTATAATACAATATAATTTATGTATTATAAAGAATAAATTTCATTGGTTTAAACATATTCACTGAGGCTTATTTTAAATTGCATATGAAATATTTAGATTACTATTTGCAAAATATTGCAGTACTGTTAGAATAGTTTAATTTTACATATCACAAGTATTTATTAAACAAATATTTATACAATAATGTATAAAATGAAATTCACATTTTATCAATATTTTAAAGTAACCAAGAAATATGTTAATATTTAAGGTACATTTAATGAGAATGAATATTGTTAATTAGAAAAATTCTTTAATAATTGAAGTTGTATTCACCTTTTGAAATACATGAAATCGATATTTACTCGGGCTGACTGGTGGACTTCTTTGAGGTAAATCTCTTTTGGATGGAGAACGCATAACATTACTAATATTAGCTAAACATCCTTTGTTATGAATAGTTGAACGATCTCGGCCATTATATCCTCCACGATTTTCTTTTGATAATTTAAAATACATTCTTTTTTTCTTTTGCGCCATTGGTGAATTTTTAACAGCATTACACCAAATTTTAGATACCATAGACATTGATACAATATCATTTCCAGATAAAAATGAAAATATTTTTTCTGTAACAGGTTCAAAATGGTGACGTTCTGATAGAAAATACATTATGTCTATATTTTCACGACCTTCCACAGAAGTACGTTCATGATTGATATTTTTCCGTGGAATGACATTTTTTCTTTTTAAAAAGGTATTCTCATTATCTTCATAACATGTGTTATGAAAACGTAATCGTGTATCTGAGAATAGTTTAAATTTTTTTGTCGGAGAATATTCTTGATGTGTAGATATTGATGAAAAATTAGATTTGTAATCAGTTTTATTGGAAATATCGACAAACTTATTTTCACTAGAATTAGAATCTAGAGTAAAATTATAAGTAGGAGAAGATAGTTGAAATACATTCAGATCAGATGATGTGTGATCAAAAGAAATATTAATTTCAGATATCTGATTGAGATTGGATGAAACATTAGATAAAGTGGAACTAGAAGTATTATAGCCACTGTCATTTATACTTCTGTGAGGTGTTGAGGTAGTAGATATTATTGACTTATATTTGCTGTAACTAGGTAATTCTTTCACTGATATGTCTGCCATTATAGTTTTACTGATTAGATATCTGAAAGATAATTAAAATCATAATTAGTAACTTAACATATAGATACATATTTAAGTATAAAACAAATAAAAATTGATCTAATATCAGAACAAAAGTATTAAAGATACCAATTTTAAACTAGCAAACACTATTTATAAATTTAAATAAAACTCAGTTTTATTATTTTTATTTTTATTGTTATTATAAAACAATATTGGTTACTTTTAATTTTTCAAAAATATATCAACAACATTATTTCTTTTTAAAATTGTACTGTTACAAGTAGCTAAACCATAACTACAATATAAATACTTTCATATACCAATAGTAATTTCAGTTTTCCAATAACTACTCAAATATAAATATTATACTTCTATCATTAGGAAATAAATTAAAAATATTAAATTTAATTCAAAATTCAATAAAACTATTTATTCAAAATAGCCACAATGATAAATATTCATGAAAAATTAGCAGCAATACAAAATTTAAATTTCTTCAATAGTTTTTCATGTGTTATAACTTTGATATTACTAATTATCTTAGTATTTTTGTTACCTACATTAATAATGGTACTCACTCTACTCAATAAAATAATTATATTCTATCTAAACATCATGTAATCATTAAATTCTCGATTAAATTATATCTACTTATCATATACATCTAAGCTTTATTATAGCTACCTTTATAAATAATACAGGATGAGGTTCAATTAAAAAACACTGGTTATGAAAAGCAAAAAATTGTAACTTCTTGCTTTGTAGTTATTTATGAATTTTTTTTCTTAAAATATTAATCGGAAAAAACCAGATAAAAGTTTAAAATGTTAATGAAATTTATAGTTACATAAGAAATTAAAAATTACCTCTACCTATTTAACAGTATATAATAAACGTTATCATTAATCCATTAGGTACATTAAAACATATAAGTGGTACCCACCTTATAAATTAAAATGTGTGTGTACCCACGTATTGTAATTTGTATGTAACTCAAATACTGTAAAAAACATTTTATCTTTTCCTTTGATAAACAATTCCAAATCAATATGATTTGCGGTTAAATCAATCAGTTAAAAATGATACAAGTTGTAACATTTTCATTCAAATCATTGTACACAAAAAATATAACCCTAAGAAGGTCAAGCTATTATCTACCTAATTACATTGAATTTATCAATAGTTTTACTGAAAAATATGCTAACTTCATTGTTTCAAGAGAGGTAAAGATAATAAATAATAAATATTACATAAAAAAAAATTATACTTGACAGGTATATAATATGTATACAAATTATATAAATATTTTAAAAAATATTTTAACTTCAAATAAATATTTAATTAAGGGAAATATATGCATAGAATGCTTACACGGTAAAAACAATGCTAAAATCAATGGTCCCCAAAAACATATTTAAATCGAATTGTTAAGCCAGATTTCATTTGCAAGAAAGTCCAAGTGCATGTAAAACCAAAGTCACAGGGACTTGAACTTCGAGTGACCACGGAAAGCATTGGCCATTGGAAAATGTCCAAGTTCTCCTCTACGAATTATACCCATCCCCGTGGAGTACACAATTATAATTACAATTGCAATAATAGTGAAAACCGATCAAACGGTATTTGACCAGAGAATAACATGTGCAAAAAAGCATTGACAACGGTTGAAAAGAAAAAAAAAGTGTCGAGGGATTCATGAATGCGGAGTCGAACAAATGCGGTCGGCGTTAAGAAGCTCGCTGCTAATCGGTGTATGTCCGTAAACCGTAAAACGATTTTAATCATAATTAAAATATACTATTTTCTCACACCGTAATAATAATGCACAATAGTAATGAGGTGACGGACGTTAATCGATCCGTAACGACGCGCGTTAATTATCCAATAATGACGATTATATTGCCATTTACATTTACCTTGCTTGACATACGAGGTAAGTACCGACGATTTAAATACGGTGGTGATGATGGCGGTGATCTGCAGGTGGTGGTGGTGGTAGTGGTGGTGGTGGTGGTGATGGAGATAATGATGATGTTTGATGCAAAGGAGTCCCGATCGAGAATCGGGTACACGGTGTACTTAGATGTCTCTTAGTTACAGTTAACAATATTGACGACCGATGCGAGCGCGATGACCAGTCGTCATACGTTAGTTACTCCGGCGACGTTCGGCGTCCTTCCGACATACGACAATGATGATGATCGTGACAGCGACGGAACATGATAACAACGACGACACGGCTCTCAGATTATTGGCAGAGCAAACGCGCGCACTTATCGGCGGCAATGAAACGTTTTGTACAATAAATAATAATACAAATATCAGTCTGTCTGGGAAACGGAATGCCCGGATTGTCGGTTACATTCGAAACTCGGAGACATGTGTGAGCAGCGCCGTCACGACGAGTGGTGGGGTAGGCCGGCGGGTGAACGAGCGCAAGGTAACAGCCGGCCGGTCGGCCAATGGGAGGCTGCGGTCGCGGCGGTGGCGACCGGCGGCAACCGGACACGTACAGAAGGAAACGAAACAGCGATCGGTCCGAGAGACGAGACGGAGAGAGCGACGACTAACGAGAGAGAGTGAGTGAGAGAGAGAATAGGAAAGAGAAACAAAAACGCGTTTTTTTGCTTTCCGCGCGACCGGTTGTCGTCGAGCTCTGTGCCACCCGGAGGGTGAGTGCTCGTATTCGCCGCCGTCAAATAGTTAATCTGCTGTTTTTGTACCTGCACTAGTGATGCAAAATATAGAATGAACCAATTAATTGTAACTGTTGACTATTTTTCCCTAACGTTCGTATTGGCCATATTGCTATCGATTAAATATAAATAAAATGTTACAATACCAGTCTAAACGAAATGATGCACGAAGGCCTAAAGAGCGTGAAGCTAAATTATTTTTATAACTTAATATTGAATTAGTTGAAAATTATATTTTGATACCTAGAAGCACTATTATACTCATAGAAGGTTGGTTACTCTCAATAATCATTATTAAAATGTATTTCAAATGTTTTCTATTAGGTTCAAATGTGTAAGTCAAAATAGGAATAAACCAAAAAAACTTACAAATATTTTCTCTATTGATAAAACCGTAATTTTATATAAATTAACTACTGTTATGCGATTAAAATATTTAAAATATTTTTTTATTGGTCCATGAAAACAAACGATATCTTAAAAAATGTTAATATTAACAATAATGATTATAGGGCGAACTTTCACCAAATGATCGTTTTGCATAATATGTGATCATATGTGTGTAAGTGATGAAGTTAGTTTAAACCAGGGTTGGTAATATACGTGTATAAAACGTTTTATACGTTACACGTATATCTCCCGTATAATACGTAATACGGTTTGTTTTTGAAGTTCACACTTGAAAATATATTTTACTACTATTTTATATTATATATCTACTTTAATTTTTCATTTATAATCTGTCAATATAAAATATTAAAAGTGTTATAAATATTACGAATATAATAAATTTACTATAAATACGTCTGCGATAAAATAATGATAAATATTAATAATAGATTAATAGCACCACAATTATTTAATTCTAATTTATATTTCCTTGTTTTATTGTGTTTAAATTTAAAAAATTTAAATTATAAATGCATTTTTGTTTATAAGAGATTTTATTTTTATACAGTATAATATACGTTTCAACCCTGGTTTAAACTTAAAGTTATTTGTGTGAAAAAGTGATTGGGAATTTACCAATTTCGTAATCTCATCAATGTTCAGATACACGGAACATACATTTATACTCCGAAAACCGTAAGACTATTTAATTTAATTGATTATTGATTTTATTTCTATTTTAATACTGATGTGAACGATGAGCATGATATTAATTATTTTAACGAAAGATTAATATCATTGATTAAATATTCTATTGTATAGTATATTAAATCTATTCCAATATATTTCATCGTAGTTTCACAACCATCATGTAGTAAAAATCGTATAAGATATCCGCACATTTGAACAGTATCATGTGATGTAAAATTACAATAAAAAACGTACTTGCACTGAAAACCGACGACCGACTTTTTTATATGCATAGGAAGGTAGTATAGATATATAATATAATTTAATTTAAATTATTTTTTCATATTAAAATTTGAACTTAATTGTTATACTACACTGCATTAAAACATTCATAAATAACGTTAGTAAAATAAGTTGATAATAATAATAGTTATCATAGAAACAATTTTCGTTTTAACTCTACTGAGAAGAAATCATTCTTTGACCATTTATTTTATAATAAAATACTACTGCAGCGAATAGAAACGAGAACATATTATAATATCAAAGAATTAATGTTCGTGACGGCTCGCGAAACGTTTCTTTGAAGAGACATGTGTCCGTTATATAGTTGTTTTGACATTTCAAATACACACGTATAACAATACGACGTATCGAGCGCGTAGGCGTACGCCTTCGCGTATAGACTGAATAGATATGCATATAGCATACTGTATACAGGGACATCGGAATTTCGTTTACCAGCGTACGGATTGCAACTACTTGTCCTTTTCCGTGTCGGGCATATTAAATTAAACGCCGTTCGATTAATTCAAATACGACTAGAAAAAACACATTTTGTGAACGGAAGAGGGTACTAAAATTTGTCGATTAAAATTTGTACGATAGCAATGTTTAATACACCCACAATGAGAAAACTTTATATTGTAATGAGTAATGACCAGCATTCAGATTTTTAGCGTTTGCTAATTGTAATAAGAAACAAATAAATATAGCAAAATTAGAAGTAAATTTTTTTTATACACCAGAAAATTCAAATATGAAATTCTATCTATTCTATTCTATATCTATTAACATCTAACATGTATATTAGTATAATGCTTAATTTGAAAATTTTTATAAATATATTTAAATTGAATGAAAAATAGTATTAATTTATGTGTAATAAGAAAAATTCTCACAATTTTGTTTTTTGTCACAAGTTTTTTTTTTTTTTTTTAATTGTTAATAGAAAACAGTAATTTAAATTTTTTTTTATAAATGTATTAAAGGAAAAAAGAAGACTGCTAAAATTATGTTCAGGTTGGCTGTGAATCAACTAATTACTGATTAGTACATACAATCTGGTATATAGTACATGTATTACAAACGCTATGGATGCGGAGATACAAATTGTTTAAACGTTATTAATTTACGATGGTTGAATTAACATTAATGCATTATTTGACAGTACGAATTTAAATTTTAATATCAACAGCACAAAAAAAAATAAATCATTTTAACTTAATTGATAAAAGCGGATGGCGTATTTTCATTTATACATATTTCAGATTCTGAACGAATATATGTATTATTTCGTTAATATATTATAATAATCTATAATAATAAATATCCATAAAATTATATTTTTTATTGTAATTTTGTAAATAATTCAACAAAAATATGTAGACGTATGTATTAATGATATTTTTGCTTTTTCTCATTGACATTGCATTTTTTACTAACGAAATAAAAAATTGTAAATTTTTCTTACTTATCTTAAAATTCTATTGAAGTGTAGTTTAGATAAAAAAAAAATTAAAAATATCCTACCGGTTACAAAACAAACATGTCGATATATGCAAAAATATAGTTTTTTATTACTTACCTATAATTACGACTGATATATAAGATATATATAAGATATATTGTATTATTGTAATTAAATACTAATAAATAAAAGTGTACTTTAATTATAAAATATAAGCATTTGAATATTATCTTTAGAGTCGTCAGGGGCTCTTGGGCACACAGAATTTAGGGGCTTTTTAAAAAAAAAAAGTAAGATTATTATTTCACATTGCCTACTAATTTCCCAATTATAACAAACATTTTGAATTCACAACGATATTTTTAGACCGACCTATTTGTTCAAAAACGTATTAATATTATTTTATTATGGAAGTATAAAAATAAATTACCTTATAAATAATTAATGAATTCGTAGACTTTTATATAGTTTGTTTACTGTTCGATACCTAATGATTTGAAGTTGATTGAAAGTTGATGCATTTTGCATTTTTTTTTTAATATTTTTTAGACGATGCTTTCTTGGCTACAAATGTGTTTCATTAGCATGTGAATCCAAATAGCTAATTTTCATTTTTCATTTTTTTGCATTTTTTGGTGTATGTTACTTTTCAAGTCATTTTCCCACATTTTTGGTCATTTTTACAGATTTCACACTAGTTTACTTCTTATCGCTTCTTATCGACCATTATGCCTTTAACTTAAGACTTGTTCGATTTTATTTCACCGAATACATTCGTCATTATGGTCAGTGGTTTATTTACGAGGGGGGAGGGGTCCAGGGGTACTGGGCCCCCCAGAACTTTTCCAAAAAATAAAAAATAAACTAAAATTCTTACATATTTGCAGAATTGGCTATGTTAAACATTCATAGGGAAGTTGAAATTACTGTTGATGAAGTTTATAAGTGATAGAGGAGTTGGCCAAAAATCGAGACAACTGGAATTTATTTTATAACAATACTTTATAATATATAATGCTAAATACAATATATAGATATATACAGTGCTCGAATCGGGGGTGCGCAAGGGGACGGAGCTACTCTGCTATTTTTTTTTTTTTTTTTTTTTTGGGTACCCTAACATTATTTTTTCACCGGAACCTATTTCCGTTTAACAGTTTACATTCCATTTTTAGATTTTATGATAAACGATATGAAATCCAGATTTACAGAAGAAACATAGAGCTTAAATAATTTAGGAATATTTTTGCCAAAAATATTAATTTCTAAAATACACGAAGATACAATACAAATATTTGAATCTATTTGGAATCAGTTTCTAAATGTATAAGAAAGTGATAGATTTGCAAATAAAGAAACTTTTATTAGAAAGTAGCAAGGGGAAATTATTTGGTGGAAAGAATATTGGAATAAAGAAAAAAATGATCTTCCTGATACAGCTTTAAACTCTTTAGAACATTGTGATAAAGATATATTTCCAACAATACATTCACTGTTAAAGATTTAAGCTAGTTATATAGTTAGTATAGCGTCGGCTGAGAGGAATTTTTCTGCCCTTAAGAGAATAAAAACTTGGCTACGGTGCAACATGTAACAAGAAAGACTTTCTGGATTGGCGATTATACATTGTCATCGAGATCAACATATTGACATAGACGAAGTGATAGATATATTTTCAAAAAATAATAGAAAAAAAGATTTTACAATTTAAAATATTTTATTAATTTATTTATATATAATATTTATCATATATAATAATTAGCGGTAATTTATAAAGATTTATAATTTTTTTTAAATAAATACATGAAGTTATTCATTATCTAAAAAAAAAACCTTTTTTTTTTAAATATATGATATTTTTTAGCCTATAACTAATAAATTGCTCTCCCACCGTTTAGAGCCTCTGTATCCACCCCTGGTCACACATATCAGTCACGAGACGGTTCAATTTCAACAAGTCAGGTCATTCTCAGTCTTAGAAAATAACGTTTCACAAAATTGATATCGCGTGATCAACACTTATCAGTTTCCTATCTGATTCCAATTCGTCAGTATCCGTGCAGTATACGAAAACTTTTGAATTCTCGCCAACAATATTTTTTGTTTTGACGGACGACAATTGTAGGCGAAGTGGTTGACGAATGTGTTCGATCGTATGAGGTGCTGTACGATCTTCCTCTATATATTTCTCAGCTCCTTATATAGCGTCAAGAACTCTTCTCCACTTAGTGGCGTCATTTCAGTTTTCGGTAAAGGGGGCAAAAGTTTTGACCGGCCTATAAATGGGTAAAAAAAAATCGCTCACTTCGCTCAAAACAAAACATCTACTTATATTTTTATCAAATTACCATTTCCACCTCACTTATTTTTAAATTTTTTATTATTGTTACAAACCTTTTTATTACCTAGGTAAACAACACGACTTCAATTAAAAAGTAGCAGATATTTTATAAAAACAATTACAAGTACAAATTAAAACTGTAAAATATAAACTTTTTATTGATTAACAAAAATATGATTAGTTTATTAAAGAATATCTTCTTTTTTTCATTTTTGAAAATACATCAACTGCATCATCTAAATCAATTTTACATGATACAAAACTTTCCACTGCAATGACCAGTAAATCACTCAGCCGTTTATTTCCCATTGTTAGCCGTAGATGGGATTTAACAAACTTTAGAGAAGAAAAAAGCGCTCATTGGCAACAGTAGTAACAGGCAGTCATAAGAATATTTATAATTTTAAGAGTTTCTTGAAAAGCATTTGAAAATTGATTTAAAATTTTGGAAATAGAATAAAGGTCATGAATTCCATCATCTCAGTCTTTGTTAGCATGATTTTATGAGTTTTAAGGTATTAATAATGAAGAAAGACTTCAAATAATAATATTGTATATTTTACAAATAAAAACACATATAGATCAATTAATGTAAACACGTCAGACGAGCATTTCGCGGTTCACGGACGATTACTGACTAATTGAACGCCTATACATTCACTCAATGGCAAGTTATTTTCAAATCTCGTCCCATGAAGATTTTTATTTAATTTCACTGGTCTCCGATTCCTTGAACTATTTTCATCAACTATGTAATTTTTTTTAGCGACTAATTTTGCACTGTTATTAATATTTTCCAAAATGTATCATTACGCATTTTTTGAATATTCAGCTTTGTATTTTTCAATAAATTAACCGCTGAAGATTGTATTACACTAGAACTTTGAAGCTCTACTGAAGCACAGTGAATAGTTTGTAATAAAATCTCCATAGCATACAAGGTTTTTATAAATGAAATATTTGAAATTTAATTAAATATACCAATAGATCTTGCAGTTTGATCTCCTTGCTGGCTCAGTATTAATAGAACATCCAAAATTTCAGTAAAACGCATATTTACTTTTTGAATGGATTTATACCTATATGCCCATCTTGTTTCTACCAGCCGTTCCAAATGGATTACAGAAATTTGTTTATCTTTTTGAGCTTTAACAAATAGCTCATACATTGTTTGCCCATTCATTAAACATTTATTTAAGTTTTGTATTGTATTAAAAAAATTACATAAGTTGGGTATATTTTGTAGCATTTGAACTAAGCATAAATTTAAACGGTGAGCATAGCAGTGGACATAGATGGCATGAGGAACTTTTGAGTGTATTCTTTCTTGAATACCGAAATATTGCCCACTCATAACAGAAGCTCCATCATAGCATTGTTCAATACAATTCATGATATCCAATTTATTTATTGATATTATCTTAAGTATTTCACTATCTACTTGTAAATATTCGACCATTGGTAGCGGAGAATAAAATTTCTAGCTGAACTAGACTGTCATTTTTTTTTATAAGGATATATCATAGTTATTGTCTTGTAATGCATCCGATGGCAATTGAACCTAGGCATAATAAGTTAATGTTAGTTTTAAGTTTTAACTTATTGAATTATTTTTAATTAATTGTATATTTGTATATTATGCTGTGAGAATGGCCAGATTTATGAGGGGGGAGGGGGCAGAAGGCCACAGGCTGAACATAAATTTTTTTTTTACATCCAAATATAAAATAAAATATACTAGGTGTACATTTTAATCTTCAATATAATTTATAAAAATACAATTAAATATAAATAAATTGTTAGACAATACTTTTGAATACAATATTATTTGATTTGTTTTTTTTCATATGTTTTAGATTAAATATTGACCACAATCATCATGATCAAAAAACCAGGCAAAGATAACACTGACCCGTGTAACTACAGACCTATTAGTTTACTGTCATCAGTTTCAAAAATATTTGAAAAAATTATACACTCCAGGCTCACCAATTATTTAAATGCAATAAATGCTATTCCGCATATGCAATTTGGATTCAAATCAAATCATTCAACTACCCAACAACTACGTCTAACAGAACATATAAGCGATGGTTACGAAAAAAAACAACATACAGGTGCCGCCTTTTTAGATGTAGCCCAAGCTTTTGATCGGGTCTGGCATGACGGACTCTTATATAAACTAAAAATGTTAAACACCCCAAATGCTATTTACAATCTAATCAAATCCTACCTCACTGCTCGCTGTTTTAAAGTCATTATAAACGACACTACTTCACAAATAAAAATTATAAATGCAGGTGTACCTCAAGGCTCAAAAATTTCTCCGTTACTTTTTAACCTATATGTTTCAGACTTTCCCATATCAATTAATACGGAAATAGCACTTTATGCCGACGACAGCGCAATATATTCAAGCTCTACAGACGTTGAAACAGTGACAAAAAATATTCAAGACCACCTGAATGACATCCAAAAATGGGAAGATAAATGGAAAATCAAACTGAACCCTCAAAAAAGCACAGCAGTTCTTTTCACTAATCGCCGCCCCAAAACTCCCGGCAATTTAAAACTGTATGGCAATAACAATCCCTGGTCACCTAGCATCAAATATCTCGGCGTAATATTAGACAGGAAACTAACTTGGAACCCACACATCACCTCTAAACTTCAACAAGGCTACCAGAGACTAAAGATACTTTATCCATTGCTAAACCGACAATCATCGCTAAGCTGGAAATGCTCTATTTTGATATACAAACAAA